GAAGCGACTGTCAAGCTGTTTGTTTGTATATTGCACTTTCCAAAGCATTCCTCACGGTCATAAAGATACTCCAGTACTTGAACAAGTGTTGAATGAGCCCTTTGTAGACATGTTTACAGACACACAAAAACGTCAGAATTGGTTTTTAATGGTTTTGTGATACAGTCATGCTCTTTTAAGCAAACAGATGTAGTAGTAGTTTTTGTGGGGATGAATGATAATCTTTTATCGCAACTCATTCATCACCCAAAACATTTTTAAAATGTATTTTGTGAATGTAACGCAGTTATTGAAAGACACACTTTCAGATCTTTCAAGATGCCTGCAGTTCATGCTCTTTTGCGCACCTAAGTAAGGAGTTTACGTTTTTTTTTGATGCATGGTTTATTTGTTCGAGAGAAACATCTTGAAAACTGGTTTTAGTTCATAAAATTTGAATAACATTTTAAAGACCGCTTGAAAATTGTGCACAATATGATTATCCACTTTGCATCTGTTACGGAGTAAGAGGAAATGTATTTGTTGAATTCACATTTCTGGCATACTTCTAATGTTTACCTTTTTTTACTATGCTTTTTTTAGGAAAGCCAGGAGAGTGCAGTTGTCTTAAGGGCTGAACAGCCCAGGCACTTCATAGAGTTTAATACATAAGTGTGTCTGTGGTTAACCACACAATGCCAAACTGCTTATTCTTGAGATGAGCAACTCTTTTTATTTGTCAGCAGCGTACAGTACAAAGGGAACGTTTCCCCTTCTTTTGCAGAGCTTATTTTGTGCTGCAGTGTTTTCCCTTGCATGCTTCTTAAAAAAAATAAAAACAAAAATGATTGAGAATAAACGCAGAGCTCATGTCTGATTTGTTAAAACATGTTTCATTACACATTTTGATGGTCTTCGAAATTCTGCTGACTAAGTGACTACATGTCAACTAGCAGTCATTAGAGTATTAGTAGACTGGTTATGGTTAGTAGAATGAGTTGACGTACTTAGTTATTTTAATATCAGTAGTGACTGACAAACTATTGTAGTTTTTGTTTTGATATTTTTTCATTAATTTTTTTAGTTTTTGTAATTTAGTTGTGTTTTTGTCATTTTTATTAGTAATAGGTTTATAGTTTTTTTTTTTTTATTTTAATGTTTTTTTTTCATTTTCATTTCAGTTTAGATATTTTAGTACATTAAGGTAAACTTATATAGACTAACATGCAGTATATAGTAAAAAATAAAAAATCCATTTAAAATATATTTTATTTTAATTAATAAAAGACTTTTTATGGTTTTAGTATTAGTTAATTGTAATAACCCTGAACAGAATTTATTGAAAGTTCAACAAAGACCTCTTCATTCATAAATAATAAAAAATAAAATAAATCCTTTTGATTTTCGCTCACTAATGGCATTGTCTGGTGAGAATCACGCAGTGCTAAATGGGTGAGACTGGCAGGATTTATTGGCAGTAATTCAGAAGAACGGAACGTTCTGAAGGGAAATCTGTGGTGTTCGGTGGGACATTGTAACGGGTTGGACGTGAGCTGGGTGATGGGATTAGCTCTCGCTCTCCGAGTCAGCACTATGGACGGGTTTAAAAGCTGTGTGTGTGTGTGTGTGTGTGTGTGTGTGAAGAGCAGCAGTTACATCATGCAAGTACAGCCCGTAACAAGTGTGCAGGTGTGAGTAAACCCAGATTAGTTTATACTGGCCCTACACTAGACAAAAACTGATGAAATTTGTAATGGCATAAGAATCCTACTGCAGCTTTTCTTTATAAAATAAATATAGACTGATGATTCATATCGCTAAACACAACAGAACTTGAAAACATTTACAACAAGATTATATTTATTTATTCGTTTGAGCTAAACATTTATTGGAAACTTGTGGCCTGATTATTTGTAGTGTTTTATTATTAGTAGTATTTTTATTTACTAAGCAAACAAACAAACCAGTGTTATTTTATTGTTATGAACTATTATAGTTTCTATCTATCTATCTATCTATTTATCGTTTCAGTTTTAATTACCATCCTGAAACAAACGTTTATACTGGCCCTACACTAGACAAAAACTGATGAAATTTGTAATGGCATAAGAATCCTACTGCAGCTTTTCTTTATAAAATAAATATAGACTGATGATTCATATCGCTAAACACAACAGAACTTGAAAACATTTACAACAAGATTATATTTATTTATTCGTTTGAGCTAAACATTTATTGGAAACTTGTGGCCTGATTATTTGTAGTGTTTTATTATTAGTAGTATTTTTATTTACTAAGCAAACAAACAAACCAGTGTTATTTTATTGTTATGAACTATTATAGTTTCTATCTATCTATCTATTTATCGTTTCAGTTTTAATTACTATCCTGAAACAAACTAGAATTATTTTTTTATTTTACTATTGCTCATATGTTTTATGCTTAACTTTTTGGCTGTTTTAAAATACACACAAAAAAAACAACGTACTTTTTTGAAGTAAAATTGGAATACAGAAATAATTTTAACAACAACAGGTAGTGATAATAGTGACAGCACTGTTTGTATATTCAAGTTGATCATTCGTAACAGATAAATGTGGGAGAATTAAAACAGCACAAGATGCTACACTTTGGCCTCCAATATTTCTTTCCTCAGCTAAAGAAGAACATCAAATTAAAAAATTACAATTAAAACAAAAAAATAAGTTTTAGAAATGCAAACATTTCGGTTTTCTCTCTCTATTTGAAATCTCAAACACATTTTATGTGCTTTAGTATGTTAATCAACAGATTTAAAAAGTGCACTTTAAAGCACAAAAGAAAGATTATTAAAACATACGATTTAAAATGGACTTTAAACTGTAATTTGTTATTACTACAAAGTGCACTTTTTAAACTTGTATTATTTAGGTGTGTTAGGATCGCGCTGATCAGTGCATTACTGACATCTCCTGGCAGTTTGGATCAGAAACTTCATCGGATCTCCTCTGCAGACTTCTTACAAGAGATTCACACAACTTTTCAAGTCAATAGTGCTGTTGAACGCTGTCTATAAAACATCTGCCATTTGTTTCAGAGATGTTGGTGATTGGTCTGCTCTGGGCAGATGATGAAGTTCATCTCATGCTTCAGCTGTCCAGGTTTTGTGATCATGACTAGCCTACCTCTATCTGGCACTTCAGCATTGCTGTCTGTGATTAAAGGTTTAGCAGGTGCTTTGTGTCTGCAGTCATAATCATAAAAACTGCTGTTCTTAAAACACCAAACAACTAACCCTAACAAGTCATTGATTTTAGTCGCAGCTTGTACCAAACCCCGCCCTTTTGAAAAAACCAGCATATGCTGGTTAGGTATGTTTTGACGCTGGGATGCTGATTTAAGCTGGTCCTTTGCTGGTTTATGCTGGTCCTTTGCTGGTTTATGCTGGTCCTTTGCTGGTTTATGCTGGTCTATGCTGGTCCTTTTGCTGGTCTATGCTGGTCCTTTGCTGGTTTAAGCTGGTCCTTTGCTGGTTTATGCTGGTCCTTTGCCAGCACATGACCAGCATAAACCACCAACGGACCAGCTTAAACCAGCAAAGGACCAGCATAGACCAGCAAAGGACCAGCATAGACCAGCAAAGGACCAGCATAGACCAGCAAAGGACCAGCATAGACCAGCAAAGGACCAGCATAGACCAGCAAAGGACCAGCATAGACCAGCAAAGGACCAGCATAGACCAGCAAAGGACCAGCATAGACCAGCAAAGGACCAGCATAGACCAGCAAAGGACCAGCATAGACCAGCAAAGGACCAGCATAGACCAGCAAAGGACCAGCATAGACCAGCAAAGGACCAGCATAGACCAGCAAAGGACCAGCATAAACCAGCAACGGACCAGCTTAAACCAGCATCCCAGTGTCAAAACATACCTAACCAGCATATGCTGGGTTTTTCAACAGGGTGCTGAGCACAACTTGTACAAACTATAGAGAATACAGAGAACAACAACTTAAGATAATCACAGCATTTTTGTTCACGTTATTTTTAGTTCATATTTTGTCCAACCCCTGTATGAAGGCCTATCTAAACCTTACATTCTACATATTAGACCCATGTTTTCTAGGAAATGTAGGCTATCAAAGCAGAGATTTTCCCTCTATTTTTGGATTGAATATATTCTTAATATTATTTCTAATTGTTAATTCGATTTCTCATATCTTCTTCATTTCCTACAATGATATTTCTCTTTCTTCAACATAATTCAGCGGGAAATCACTCGTTTTACTGTGTTATTCTGTCCACACCATTCACACAACCCTGTTGGATAATAAATAAATGCTTTTTAAACTTGTACGCCCTATTCATATAGCCTTTTTCTTGTATTGACTATTCATTATTCCAATGATGTTGCCATTTTTGTAACATTTTTGCTTTATTATCAGTTATTTATTATTATTAATGACATATTTCAGTTGCTACCACCTCTATTTCACTTTTTTTTGAGATCTTTAACTTTTGAATATTAACTGCAGCTCCTACTAAACCTCCATTTGAATTTCTTGGAGCATGTTTAAATATATGTATTTTTTGTTCCGTATTATAGCCAAATGCACTCCTTTAGGCTCTAAAAATCTTATCATTGTTAGGCTATTGTTTTTAGGGCCGCCGCGACATACAGTAGGCTACATCGCATTACATTTATTCAATACTTTATTTTATAGTTTCCTATCATCTTATCTATATGTTTTTCCATGTCACTTGAATATTTCATTTTAAATTTAAAGGGGTCATATGATGCGATTTCAAGTTTTCCTTTCTCTTTGGAGTGTTACAAGCTGATTGTGCATAGATAAGATCCCTCAAGTTGCAAAGAGAAAAATAATGTGTTTTTTGAACATTAAAGCATGTCAACATATTTGTTACACCCAAATACACAAAATAATGATCTTTAAAAAATCTTCATATGACCCCTTTAAATCTACTCAGCGAGCTGAACATTTACGTTCATGGTCGTTTATCGATTAGTCAGGTCTGTCAGACTGAAATGTCGATGAGGGAAAACTCGATGCCCATGCGGAAGTCCCTGATCATTTGGATAAATGCACAAGAGAAAACAACCAAATGAAAATGTAAGTAGGCTAAATCGCACTGCGCTCGTGTCTGTTTTGCACGTTGAACTAGGCTTTTGGTTTTCGCATGTGTTGCAGTTTGAGCATCCCGTGTGGATGGTTTGTTGTGGTTTGAACTGGGCTGTGTTTTGTCAAGCTGCTGTCACAGGAACATGGAGCCATCGCAGTCCATACAAGAGATGCTAACTGTCTTTATCTGAGGTGTGGCTTAGTGGTTAAACGCCTGGGCTGGAAACGGAAAGGTTGCAGGTTCGACAGGTTGTTCCCGTGATCTATTTACAGCAGCAGCAGCCCAGCCCAAACCACAACAGGTCACCGGTTTCTTCGTTAAACACCATTACAGCCATCAGATTTAGCTATACAACATTACAAAATGTCCACCACATTTCTGTATGTAATTTTATGCAAATACAATTCTGCTCGTACGTTTATATACATACCCCTTGCAGATTTTTTCTCTCTGGGAAACAACAATCTTACAATCTTACAAGGGCAGTATATAATTGAAAAAAAAAAAAAAGTTTAAAGAAAATAATAAAAATGTACGTTACATATCATCGTCCTGTTTAAAAGTTTACACCCCCGGCTTTTAATGCACCTTTTGTATTAGTTGTGTATGAGTCCCTGTTGTCCTCAATGTGAAAGGATGGATCTCAAAATCATACAGTTACTGTTGAAAATGGTTTAAATATGCAGAGGATGCTGCAAAACTAAAGAATGTGCAGGAGCTGGAATATTTTCTGAAGAACAGTTGGACCATCAGAATAAAAAAAAACAAAACAAAAAACAGTCACTGATCATCCAGGTAACAACAACAACACACATTAAGAATCAAGGGTATGTAAACTTTTGAACTAGTTAATTTGTGTAAATTCAGTTTTTATTTTGTCTTGACGTCATGTGAAAAAGATTTATTCAGGACAGTACTAAATAAAAAATAACATGAAATGTTTATGACCCTATTATTTTGTTAAAATCTTGCATAATTTGCAAGGGTTATGTAAACGTTTTAATCAGAAATGCAAATCTTGACATACATTTGAATGTGTTGATTATATGGTTATATCTTTATGTTCCATTTTGGGGGTTAAAAATAGATTTTACATTTTGATGATAATAATTTTGTGCAATTAAATTTTCTTCCAGCATACTTCACAAACAAGAGAGATAATTTATAATATGCAGTCAAATGTAACATTTTAAATAAACTCGCTTCCTTAAATACTAATTTGCATCGGAATTCTGCTTGTTTGCTATCTCGGTTCTAATTTTGGAACTGAATTGCAATTAAATAGGCCTTCTCAGGTCAGGTCGGCTGTGAATGGATGGCCTCGCTGTAGTAAGTGCATTTTTAGAAGTATTAAATGTTTCTGTGTGTGTGTGTGTGTGTGTTAGGTAAAAGAGCATTGTTGTGGTGTCCAGCTGGAATCATCATGTCCTCCGCTGGTCCATCTCTGTCGCACCCTCGGTGCTCCGCGGCGGGAGCTGAGGCCGGGGCAGCAAGCGATCGTGGGATTTTCTCCTCAGACAGACACGCTGGGCTCCTGCTAGCTCAGATGAACAAAATGCGCCTGCAGTCTGACTTCTGCGATGTGCGACTGCTGGTAGGCGGAAGGGTGTTCGGGGTCCATAAGCTGGTGCTGGCTGCCAGCGGCCCGTACTTCGCTGCTCTGTTCTCTGGAGCTATGAGCGAAGCCCATGAGGAGGAGGTTCGCATTGTTGGAGTGGAAGCTGACGTCTTTGAAATTCTCCTAGAATTTATTTACACTGGTATGCTGGTGTCATACATGTGTTTGTCCATCAATCAGAAACATGCAAAAAAAAATGCTACTGGGGTATACAGCCCATAAATCGGTGCTCTTTGGATGCGGGATTTCTTAATTCATCAAAAACTTTGAACTCCAAGGCACTCAAAAGTCTTTATTCTCACATGGATTTACATAAAAAAAAATCACAAATATGTCGAGTTGTTTTTAATGTAAAGCCATGTGAAATTTACAACAGCTTCGAACGCGGCTCAACCAATCAGAATCAAGGACCGGAACGCTCCGTTTTATTATAAAGACTTTTTATTTTTCACAAACCTTTCGAGTGCCTTGGAGTTAAAAGTTACCTGTGGGAAGTTAATTAGTGGTGCTTGATAATGGTCAGCATCACTATTAAAGGAATAGTTCACCCAAAAATTCAAGATGTAGATGAGTTTGTTTCTTCATCAGATTTGTAGAAATGTAGCATTGCATCAGTGTCTCAGCAATGGATGCTCTGCAGTGAATGGGTGCCGTCAGAATGAGAGTCCAAACAGCTGATAACAACATCACAATAATCCACACGACTCCAGTCCATCAGTTAACATTCGAGCCGTTCATGCCAGACTGGGGAGAGAGGTGTTGTAATAATGTAAAATATGTGAAAAATAATGTGTTTTTCGAACAACCAAGTATGAGAGCCTGTTCTAGTACACCCCCAAAACAAAATCAAGACTTTGTAAAAGAGCATAATAGGACCCATTTAAGACATTTGAACTGTTGTCTGTAATCCGTAATAGCGCAACATAATTGTAAATGGTGCTAGCTTGATCTGTGCAGATTTCTCTTCTGATTCAGACCAGATGACTTTTTCACTGGAGGAAGCGTTATTATGGATTATGGACTTGTAGCCAGGTCTGTGCACGCAACCGCTCCAGGGGGAATGGTGGAACTGTGGAGGATATGTGACAGCCTGGGCAGGGGTGGAGGCTTTTCCCGGTGGAGGGGTCCTCCCCTATCGTGGGGGTGACCGGGGATCACCACAGGTAAAGCGGGCAAGGCGACGGTGGCGAGTATTCGAGCCGTTCATGCCAGACTGGGGAGAGAGGTGTTGTAATAATGTAAAATATGTGAAAAATAATGTGTTTTTCGAACAACCAAGTATGAGAGCCTGTTCTAGTACACCCCCAAAACAAAATCAAGACTTTGTAAAAGAGCATAATAGGACCCATTTAAGACATTTGAACTGTTGTCTGTAATCCGTAATAGCGCAACATAATTGTAAATGGTGCTAGCTTGATCTGTGCAGATTTCTCTTCTGATTCAGACCAGATGACTTTTTCACTGGAGGAAGCGTTATTATGGATTATGGACTTGTATTTTAGCTGTAAGCAACAGTTTGAAGTTAAAAGCATCTTAATGAACACACAGCTTTTCACTTCACAAGATGTTAACTGATGGACTGGAGTCTTGTGTATTATTGTGATGCTTTTATCAGCTGTTTGGACTCTCGTTCTGACGGCACCCATTCACTGCAGAGCATCCATTGGTGGTGAGCAAGTGATGCAATGCTCTGTTGAAGAAACAAACTCATCTATATCTTGGATAGCCTGAGGGTGAGTAAATCTTCACCAAATTTTCATTTTTGGGTGAACTATTCCTTTAATATTGCTCAAATGAACAAACCTCTAACAAGACGTTTTAAACGTCGAGGTGTAACTCTACCAGTTATGTGAACAATACCTCAAATCATCCAACTTCTTGAGGAGAGGTGTGCTGGCATTTGACTATTTACATTGAGTTACTTGAGAGACCAGAATATAATAGAGACTTTGAGATGTGCTCTTTTGTCTCGGGCTATTAAGCAGAGTACAAACAAGAGTATTTTACTTAACCCACTGGCAGAACATTTGACTTATTTTAAGCAAAATGCTCGTAATTCAGTTTTTTCCCCCTCTGGAAACAAGACTAAATATCTTGTCGTTTTGCTTATCTAGTAAATGCATCTTAATTTAAGAATTTTTAGATATTTTGACTAGAAACAAGACAAAAATACTAAGTAAGATAAACCTTTTTTGCAGTGTGTATATGAGTGTAATGTAAAAGCTCCACATTTCCCAAACTCTTCCCAGTGTATGAATGGCAAACATATTAAAACGCTCTTCTTTTGCTCCTGACAGGCTCTATTGACGTGACGGTGGACACTGTGCAGGAGCTGATGGTGGCTGCAGACATGCTGCAGTTGAGTGAGGTGGTGGATATATGTGGAGAATTCCTGCGGGCTCATATGGACCCATCCAACTGTGTGGGGATCTATCGCTTTTTGGAGCAGATCGCCTGTATGGAGCTGCTACAGTTCACTGAAGACTACATCCATGTCCACTTTCTAGAGGTGGGTTCACAGTTTTCCGTTTCAAATATTCTCAGCATTGAGTTTTTGTTTCTTTTAACCCTGATTCATGGATTTAAATGTGTCATGCGTTGATCTTTTGACATATAAGAGGCCTTTGTACCATTAAAACATCCTGCAAGTTTCATAACTTAAAGGTGACCTATTAGGTGAGTGTATATGTGAAGTTTTAGCTCAAAATACACCACTGATAATTTTTCGTAGCTTGTTAAAATGGGCACTTTTAGGGTTTGAGCCAAAATGCGCCGTTTTTGTGTGTGTCCCTTTAAATGCAAATGAGCTGCTGCTTTTCAGAAGAGGGCGGAGCTTCAAGAGCTCAAGCTCTGGCATACAAATAAACATTCCACTATTAGCACAAGCCTGTTATCTTTACAGAAAACATACTCGGTTTAAAAGTCATAATAAATGATGTGCATAATAAATGATTGTTTATGAATTACACAGACGAGGAGCACGGCGCGATAAAATAACGACAGCTGGTCTCATGGTGCCTTAGCTGCTGTCACAAACTTTAGAAGTCCCACATGTGATTATGAGCTCGACAAATTCAAGCGGTCGACATTGCTTTCATATGCAATTTTTTAACTACCACATTCCTATTTACAATCATTCTGGTAGCACGTGAAGGCAGCATCAGTGAAAACAGAAGTAGCTTTAGCAACATTAGCCTTACATTTCAGTCTTAAATTTCATAAATTCTCATATATATATCATACGAGGGCTGTCCGGAAAGTATCCAGATTCCAGCCATGTAATATGAGAAATGCTAAACGATGAAAACGGCAGCAGCTGTGGGCAGCTGGTGCTCAGATGGCCCCCTACAGCTCAAAATTTGATGCCTTGCGACTTCTGACTTTTCCCAAAACTAAAATCACCTTTGAAGGGGACTGAGGCGTCATTGTCCTACGCACAATGCTTCTTGTGTCTTGTATCTTCTTCGATAAATGTCTGTATTTTACATATTACATGGCTGTATATTTTTTAGACAGCACTTGTATTTCAGTGTCTGACGAGCTGCAGTAAAGGTTTACAGTTTTTTACCTGACTCTTTGCTGTTTTACAAAGCGTTGATTTTTGGCGAATTGCAATTTGACCCCAAACACAATTGATGTAAACAAAATTCGTACAGCCTTTCCAAAACAAACCTATGTGTTGAAACTTTGCATGCACATTCGTGACCATAATTGAGAAAAAAACCCCAAAAACATAATATTTAAAAAAGAAAATAATAGTTAAACCAGTGTGTCAAGCACTTTGAAAATCGAATGCAGGTCAAACTGACCAACACAACAGAAGGATTTTTAACGGCAGGTTACTCCGGGCAGGCACCAAGATAAATGACTTATCACTATTATGAGTATTGCCCACTTTTGCTCTACAGTGATTTTTGTAGGGCTCCAAATATTTAGCCTTCACGACTGTCAGTATTTTGTGGTTTTGAAAACGTCTGCATCCTGTGTCTGGAGTCAGGTGTGCGCCTCAGAAGAGTTCTCAAGCTTGTCTAAAGATCAGCTGGTGAAGCTGCTCCGCAGTGAGGAGCTCAGGATCGAAGACGAGTATCAGGTGTTCACGGCTGCTATGGACTGGCTGCACCACGACGTGCCGCACAGGAAGAAGCATGTGGTGGAAGTTCTGGAACCGGTGCGCTTCCCGCTGCTGTCTCCACAGAGACTCTACAAGTACATCGAGGGTGAGAGAGATGCTGTGTTTCACTTTAGTGCTCCTCACCACTCAGGACTCATGTTTGTATCCTCTGATTAGATGGACATAATTGGAAGAAACTTTCACATAGTCTGACAAGGTTATAATTTACATAAATGTTACAGAGGCATTTTAAGAGGATTTAAGAGCAAAAAAAATTAATAAAATATTCTTTTGTCAAATAATATAGGCATCGCAATTTATGTTAAAATATACAGTATACATTCATAAAAAAGACTTTCTTTAACAATTAAAAAAAAAAAAAATTTCCTTGGATGATTCTGAAAACAAATCTTCAATTTCGAGTAAACTTTGAGTCTTACATTTCATAAGGTCTCATTTATATCATATTTTAGTGTTTGACAAGCTACAATAAAGGTTTTCTGTTTTTTGTTTTGGCTCTGCTGTTTGAAGTGTTGATTTTTGGCAAACTGCATTGATCAATAAATGATTACATTCATTATTAAAAATAATCTGAAAAAATATTCTTCTGTCAAATAATATAGGCAATGCAGGTTATGTTAAACTATAAATTCTTACACAATGGTTATTCAAAATGCGTTACAAGATAATTTATGATCATAAAAATCAGAAAAAGAAAAAAGTTTCAAATAAAAATTTATTAAAGGGGTCATCGGATGCCCATTTTCCACAAGTTGATATGATTCTTTAGGGTCTTAATGACATTCCACTATTAGCACAAGCCTGTTATCTTTACAGAAAACATACTCGGTTTAAAAGTCATAATAAATGATGTGCATAATAAATGATTGTTTATGAATTACACAGACGAGGAGCACGGCGCGATAAAATAACGACAGCTGGTCTCATGGTGCCTTAGCTGCTGTCACAAACTTTAGAAGTCCCACATGTGATTATGAGCTCGACAAATTCAAGCGGTCGACATTGCTTTCATATGCAATTTTTTAACTACCACATTCCTATTTACAATCATTCTGGTAGCACGTGAAGGCAGCATCAGTGAAAACAGAAGTAGCTTTAGCAACATTAGCCTTACATTTCAGTCTTAAATTTCATAAATTCTCATATATATATCATACGAGGGCTGTCCGGAAAGTATCCAGATTCCAGCCATGTAATATGAGAAATGCTAAACGATGAAAACGGCAGCAGCTGTGGGCAGCTGGTGCTCAGATGGCCCCCTACAGCTCAAAATTTGATGCCTTGCGACTTCTGACTTTTCCCAAAACTAAAATCACCTTTGAAGGGGACTGAGGCGTCATTGTCCTACGCACAATGCTTCTTGTGTCTTGTATCTTCTTCGATAAATGTCTGTATTTTACATATTACATGGCTGTATATTTTTTAGACAGCACTTGTATTTCAGTGTCTGACGAGCTGCAGTAAAGGTTTTCAGTTTTTTACCTGACTCTTTGCTGTTTTACAAAGCGTTGATTTTTGGCGAATTGCAATTTGACCCCAAACACAATTGATGTAAACAAAATTCGTACAGCCTTTCCAAAACAAACCTATGTGTTGAAACTTTGCATGCACATTCGTGACCATAATTGAGAAAAAAACCCCAAAAACATAATATTTAAAAAAGAAAATAATAGTTAAACCAGTGTGTCAAGCACTTTGAAAATCGAATGCAGGTCAAACTGACCAACACAACAGAAGGATTTTTAACGGCAGGTTACTCCGGGCAGGCACCAAGATAAATGACTTATCACTATTATGAGTATTGCCCACTTTTGCTCTACAGTGATTTTTGTAGGGCTCCAAATATTTAGCCTTCACGACTGTCAGTATTTTGTGGTTTTGAAAACCTCTGCATCCTGTGTCTGGAGTCAGGTGTGCGCCTCAGAAGAGTTCTCAAGCTTGTCTAAAGATCAGCTGGTGAAGCTGCTCCGCAGTGAGGAGCTCAGGATCGAAGACGAGTATCAGGTGTTCACGGCTGCTATGGACTGGCTGCACCACGACGTGCCGCACAGGAAGAAGCATGTGGTGGAAGTTCTGGAACCGGTGCGCTTCCCGCTGCTGTCTCCACAGAGACTCTACAAGTACATCGAGGGTGAGAGAGATGCTGTGTTTCACTTTAGTGCTCCTCACCACTCAGGACTCATGTTTGTATCCTCTGATTAGATGGACATAATTGGAAGAAACTTTCACATAGTCTGACAAGGTTATAATTTACATAAATGTTACAGAGGCATTTTAAGAGGATTTAAGAGCAAAAAAAATTAATAAAATATTCTTTTGTCAAATAATATAGGCATCGCAATTTATGTTAAAATATACAGTATACATTCATAAAAAAGACTTTCTTTAACAATTAAAAAAAAAAAAAATTTCCTTGGATGATTCTGAAAACAAATCTTCAATTTCGAGTAAACTTTGAGTCTTACATTTCATAAGGTCTCATTTATATCATATTTTAGTGTTTGACAAGCTACAATAAAGGTTTTCTGTTTTTTGTTTTGGCTCTGCTGTTTGAAGTGTTGATTTTTGGCAAACTGCATTGATCAATAAATGATTACATTCATTATTAAAAATAATCTGAAAAAATATTCTTCTGTCAAATAATATAGGCAATGCAGGTTATGTTAAACTATAAATTCTTACACAATGGTTATTCAAAATGCGTTACAAGATAATTTATGATCATAAAAATCAGAAAAAGAAAAAAGTTTCAAATAAAAATTTATTAAAGGGGTCATCGGATGCCCATTTTCCACAAGTTGATATGATTCTTTAGGGTCTTAATGAAAAGTCTATAACGGACTTTGGTTAAAATTTCTCAATGGTAGTGTAAAACAACACACTTTTTACCCTGTCAAAATCAGCTCTGTTCACAGCGAGCCGTTTTGTTGCATGTTGCTTTAAATGCTAATGAGCTCTGCTGACCCCGCCCCTCTCTTCCGAGCCGCTCTCTGAGAGACTCTTAACTTCAGCTGCATTCATCACGGAACTTGCAAACTAGCACATTATTAGGAAAGGGCGATTTGCAAAGATTCATAAAAAAAAGTAAGTGAAGCTGGATCACGAATGATTCGCATGAACATAAACGCATTTAGGCAGATCGGGGGCGCATTCCCTTCAAAAACAAACGTAATCCACTGCGTCTTCAGCGGCTCAGATGTCAGAAATAAATGACGACTGCTATGTTTATTATTACATCCAACAACAAAACACCACAATCACTTAGGAGACATTCTTGTCTTCCTCTGCTACTCAGGGCGGGTCTAGGGTAAAACACTAGTGTCGATCAACAATCGTGGGAGGGGCTTGTGCAATACTACGTCATTCTGCCAAGAATCTGTAAACGGCTTGATATGAGAAAGGGGTTATGATTTATCAGGATTTTAAAAAAGCACTGGGTGGATTTTTATCATTATAGGGTGGTTGTGTACACACACTGCCAACACACATTTATGTTCAAACAACATGTAAAAGTGAATTTTGCATCCGATGACCCCTTTAAAAATAATGCAAAACGAAACGGTTTTTAAGGTTATATAAACTGTATACAGTGTTGGGTATAATGCATTACTAAGTAACTAATTAATGTAATTTAATTACTTGTCCCTTGAAAAAGTAAAGTAAGGGATTACTCTTAATTTTTTCTGGAATTTAATTACACATTTGCAAATTGCATAAATACTGTATAGACTACAAAACATTATTGTATAAAACAGTAGTGGATTTAACATTACAATTTAACAATCTAACATCTAATTTTAATGTAACTTTTTCTCTTTAAAAACTTTAGTCAGTTCAAGTAAAATTTATGCAATTTTATGTTATTTATTTGAAAGAATTAAAAGAGCAGTTTAATGTCTATCCTTGTCTTGTCGAGTTTGATATGGGATTTAGAAAGTAATTAGTAATAAGTAATGCAATACTTTTTAGTAATTAGTACAGTAATCTAATTACACTATTGTAGATGATTTTTTTTTAGTCTAACCTCCTCAGCTCTGACTTTAAGTGCATTAGCACAATCAGACTGTTTATGTTTGGTAAGCAGCTTGATGTATTCATATAGATTTGAATGTATGTCTAGGTGCACATATCTTGTATATTTTACAATGTGGCTCATCTAATCGTAGTTTAGAGCTGGAATGATCTGTTTTATGATGTTTGTTTTTGTGTACACATTGGTAACGAGACATTCTCCTGCAGGTATTTCTGACTTCAGTTTGCGAGTTGCATTGCAAACCCTTCTGAGAGAGTACACTGAAGTCAACAAGTCCCCTAAAGAGAGCAAACCTTTCAGCCTTCTGCAGACGGCCAAGGCCCGGCCCCGGAGAAAAGCCCGCAAGTACCTCTACGCCATTGGTACGGGAACTCTTCCGCGAGCGTGCAGATGTGATACTCATCTTAAAGGGATAGTTCACCCAAAAATGAAAATTCTGTCATTAATTACTCACCCTCATGCCGTTCCAAACCCGTAAGACCTTCGTTCATCTTCGGAACACAAATTAAGATATTTTTGATGCATTCTGAGAGCTCTCTGACCCTCCCATAGACAGCAAGGTAACTACCACGATCAAGGCTCAGAAACATAGCAAGGAGATCGTTAAAATAATCCATGTGACATCAGTGGTTCAACCTTAATTTTATGAAGCTACGAGAATACTTTTTGTGCGCAAAGAAAACAAAAATAATGACTTTATTCAACAATTCGCTTCCTCTGCATCACCCTATAGCACCATTTTGGAGAGTATCACATACGTAAACAATGTATGCAACGTATGTACGCGGATACGTTGTTTATGTTCAGATCAAAGCATAAACAACGTAAACAGTGTATCCGCGTATATGTGTATGTCTATGGGAGGGCCAGAGAGCTCTCGGATTTCATCAGAAATATCTTAATTTGTGTTCTGAAGATGAACGGAGGTCTTGCGGGTTTGGAACGGCATGAGGGTGAGTAATTAATGACAGGATTTTCATTTTTGGGTGAACTATCCCTTTAATCGTTTGTCCAATTCAACGTCTTTCTTCTGTCTCTCAGGCGGTTACACTCGTCTGCAGGGCGGCCGATGGAGTGACAGTCGGGCTTTGAGTTGTGTTGAGCGCTTTGATTCGTTCAGTCAGTACTGGACCACCGTGTCTTCCCTGCATCAGGCCCGCAGTGGACTCGGGGTGGCCGTCCTGGAAGGCATGATATATGTAGTGGGGGGTAAGTGTGTGTTTTTTTTTTGTGTATTTTCTGTAGTGTTGCCACATATCAATATTAGGACCCATGCAAACATCTGTACTTCTAGTAATATCAGTATTACTTCTAATTTATTCTTGAGAAAGTGGATAAAAAAAAAAAACCTGCAGACTTAAAGGGATATTTCACCTAAAAATGTAAATTTGCTGTTAATTCACTCACCCTCGGCCATCCAAGATGTAGGTGACGTTTTCTTAGAAGATTTTTAGCTGAAACCATGGTCCTTGGTCATTAACTCTTTCCCCGCCAGCGTTTTTGATCATTTTCACAAAAGTTTAATGGCCCCCAGAATATTTAGTTGTATGAACATGCAAGATGCCAAAACAAAGAACAGAGCCTCCGTTGGTAAGTTTCATGAAAAAAAACAACATTTTGAACAAAAATCTGAGAAAATCAAGATCAGATTCAGAACGATTATCAAAACATACATCCAAAGCTTGCACGGACCTAAACCACTTCCTGGATCGACATATGTGACCCTGGACCACAAAACCAGTCATAAGGGTCAATTATTTTTTTTATTGAGATTTATACATAATCTGAAAGATGAATAAATAAGCTTTACATTGATGTATGGTTTGTTAGGATAGGACAATATTTGGCTGATACACAACTATTTGAAAATCTGGAATGTGAGGGTGCAAAAAAATCTAAATATTGAGAAAATCACCTTTAAAGTTGTCCAAATGAAGTTCTTAGCAATGCATATTACTAATCAAAAATCAAGTTTTGGTATATTTACGGTAGGAAATTTACGGCATATCTTCATGGAACATGATTTATACTTAATATCCTAATGATTTTTGCATAAAAATTGATAATTTTGACCCATACAATGCATTGTTGGCTATTGCTACAAATATACCTCAGCGGCTTAATTCTGGTTTTGTGCTCCAGGATCACATTTAATTTGGTAACATTAGGCAGTTTTGATATGCTGTTTAATGTGTGATGTTGGCGTTATTTTACATATGAATCTGCTTACATACGCGACCACTGCTTTCTGCTTCTTCGCCTTGTTTTGATACAGATATTCAGTACTCTTTCAGAAGATGTGTGGCGGGAAAAGAGTTAATAAAATGCAAGTCAACGGCTACCATCACTTTGAGAGTCAAAGAAAGCATATATAGGCAACACAAAATGAATCCCTGTGGCTCCTGACGATATATTTGGGTCTTGTGAAGCAAAACAATTGCTCTGTGCAAGAAACTACTAATTATTTCGAAACCTTTCTACTTAGCCATTGCACATCCACCATGCTTCAGTTTTTTGACACTTTTTAATTCATGTTTGTTGTTCTAATCAAATCAAATCTTCATCCAGTGCGCAGTGGGTTTTGGGCAATATTAGTGTGCACTTCAAATTTCCACCGGAAATAGCAGACTATCTGGAAAACTCATTGCAACATATTTTGATTTGGGACGCACTAAATGATCCCAAATGCTGCACTGCATTTACATTTACAGTACATTTATTCATTTAGCAGATCCAAAACGACTTACAATTGAGGAAATAATAAACATACAGCCGTCTTGTGTTGCACAGGAGAAAAGGACTCCATGATTTTCGACTGCACGGAGCGGTACGACCCAGTGACCAAGCAGTGGGCGGCAGTGGCGTCTCTGAACTATCCACGCTGTGGGGTTGGAGTTTGTTCCTGTCATGGAGCTCTTTACGCACTTGGTACGCAGATTTAGATGCTTTCCGGCAGGATGAGTTTAGGCACTGTCAGTCTGCTTCGCTCTTCAGGGTTTTGTTCAGTCGCACTGTAACACCTTGTGATTTGTTAACGCTTTTAGCAACATTCCTGCCAAGGTAATGTTTTCCCTGGCAATGCATGCATGCAATGATAAAATGTACACATTGAGGGCAATGAATGTTGCATTGCATAAAAATGTCTGGCTTGAATGTAAATGGTTATGGTTTCAGGTGGCTGGATTGGCTCAGAAATCGGGAAGACCATGGAACGATATGACCCAGAAGAAAATAAATGGGAGGTTATTGGGAGCATGGCTGTTCCTCGATATTATTTTGGCTGCTGTGAGCTGCAAGGTACGCAAGTACCTTGTTAAACCCAATCGTGTTAAAGGAAAAGTTCACCCAAAAATTACATTTTGTCATCATTTACTCACCCTCATGTCGTTCCAAACCTGCATGAGTTTCTTTCTTTAAAAAAATATTTTGTGTTCAACATAAGAAAGAAACTTAAACAGATTCGGATTGACGTGAGGGTGAGAAAATGATGACAACATTTTCTTTTTTGGGTCAGCTATTCCTTTAATAAATGTCTTTTGAAGGATTAATTCATTGGACTTGAACATGCATTTCAAGCAAATGATGAAATCTTTTAAGCTTGTGTTAACTACACACCTTATTTCAGGCATTTAACCAAAAACACACAAAAAAACCATCCACTGACTTCATGAAGATGGCACTGGAAGTGCTACAATGTTAACTCGTTTCAGGGTTTTGGCCAACAAACAGTGCTGGGTAGATTACAAATTGTAGTCTGTTAGTTACTGATTACAGATTACATGACGGAAATTGTAGTTTGTAACACAATCTATTGGATTACACATATTAGGTAATGTATTCTAACTACTTTTAGATTACTTTTGACATTACTGATAAGAAAATCTATTCAATTCTTTATCAACATCATGAAATGTATTAAACATTACAGTATGCCAGGGTTTACCAAACTGTAGTTTGTGAGTTGATGAAAAGCGAAAATAGCAAATTAAACGGATTTCATTTTAAAAACTCTTTTTAAAATAGTCAACCATCAAAGTGTAGAATTTTAGGGAGAGAATAAAGATTAAGGCGAATCAATAAATAATGAATTACTATACAGAATTAGATTACAATCTATAGAAAAGTAACTGTAATCTGATTACAAGCATTTTAAAATGTAATCTAATTACAAAACATCATGAAATGTATTAAACATTACAGTATGCCAGGGTTTACCAAACTGTAGTTTGTGAGTTGATGAAAAGCGAAAATAGCAAATTAAACGGATTTCATTTTAAAAACTCTTTTTAAAATAGTCAACCATCAAAGTGTAGAATTTTAGGGAGAGAATAAAGATTAAGGCGAATCAATAAATAATGAATTACTGCATACGTAATCATGTAATCTATAGAAAAGTAACTGTAATCTGATTACAAGCATTTTAAAATGTAATCTAATTACAAGTACCTAATTTGTGGAATCTTTTTATGTGATCGGTTGCTACCCAGCACTGCCTACAAAAATACACCACCGCTGTAGCACTCTGGCAGGGAAAATAACGTTAACCAGTAACCAAGCCAGTGCATACTTTTAGTGCACTGTGGAAATATGAAGAAAGTATGCAGGCCCTTGTCTTCAGTATGTTGTGCGTCTGTTCCAGGCTTCATCTATGTGATTGGTGGCATCAGTGATGAGGGTACGGAGCTGCGCTCGGCTGAGGTTTACGACCCCATCTCTCGCCGCTGGAGCGCCCTGCCGGTCATGGTGACCCGACGGGCGTACGTGGGTGTAGCTAGCCTCAATAACTGCATCTACGCTGTAGGAGGCTGGAATGAGGCTCTGGGATCATTGGACACAGTGGAGAAGTACTGCCTGGAGGAGGTTAGAACCCCATAAAGTCTGATCCATATAGGGCTGCAACAACTAATCAATAATGAAAATAACCGGATGAATTTGATTATTGATTAATCTTGTCTATGCACTGTGCACATCTGCCGGTCATGTTACTTTACAGAAATAACAAACATATAAGCATATCATTTAATGCGGCTTGTCCTGTGCGTCAAACAGACGGAGCATGCAATCATTCTGACTTAATACATTTTACTAAAATATTTCTTGATAGAAATTAAACAATTGTACATGTAACGCGAAGAATTGTGTTTTTATGAGACCAGTAACAGTAAAGTATAGAAGCTTGTTTCTGCCATAGAATTTAAAAAAAATAATTGTGACTTTTTCTCTCACAATTCTCGTAATTGCGATTTGACATCTACAATTCTGACTTTTCTTTTTAGAATCGCAGGATTATATATTGCAATTGAAAGTCATGAAATCGCAATTGTGATTTAAAAAAATCTCGCAATTCCGAGTGTTTTTTTCTTATAATCGTGACTTTGTAAAATATCGCAATATCATGTTTATATCTCGCAGTTCTGAGAAAAACGTTAGAATTGCAAGATGCAAACTCAGAATTGCGAGAAATAAAGTCCGAATTGCGAGAAAGCCTATAAACTCGCAATTGCAAGAAATAAAGTCGCAATTCTCAGAAAAAAAGACAGAATTGTGAGAAATAAACTCACAATTTTTTATCCTGTGGCGGAAATGGGCTTCAATAGAAAAGGGAATTAAAAGTAGTTAATTGACGTAAATCTGATAGAATTACTTTGTTCAGATGAGTGCTTGTTCCTTGTTTAGTGTGTGCTTTTGTTTTATGATTTTTAATTTAGTGATTTTAACTTCAGCTTTAAAATGGTAAGCAAACATTTGTTTTTGTTATAGAATGTCATATATTTTACCCTTTTTTGCGCATAATGTATACATAGCCTACACAGATACATTCAATATTTGTTTTTATAGACTTCAAATTGCACGTTGTTTGGAGGACAGCACTGGGCAGGATGTAGAATAACATTTGTAATAATTAATTAAAACTTTTTAAAATTTAAATTATTAAATTGTAACAAATATTTGGATTTTTAAGAAATAATCAACAGAATGATCAAAACAATAGTTAGTTGCAGCCCTACATGCAACGCTGTTGACATTACCAAAAATGCAACCCTTTATGCAAATGTTTTGACTCATATGCATATGGCTCTGTTGTTGCAGGAGAAGTGGGTGGAGGTGGCGTCGATGGCCGTCCCGCGTGCTGGGGTAACGGTTGCAGCCGTTAATGGTTTGTTGTATGCGGTGGGAGGTCGGACCTCTAGCCGGGACTTTTCAGCGCCGGTCACTGTCGACTCGGTCGAAATCTACGACCCCCACCTGGACACGTGGACGGAGATCGGTAACATGATCACCAGCCGCTGTGATGGAGGTGTAGCTGTGCTCTGATAGGCCACATATTCACACCCAGCAACATGAAACTGGTTTTACAGTGTCTAATTTATTATCATTTTTAAATGAGTGAAGAAGACCACCGGAGATCGGTCTCATATGTTAGCCTGTGCGTTTGGTGAGGCTCGTTTAGGAAGTAAGTGTCAAGGTGAGTCTTTTTAGACTTCGTTTTGAGACACTGTGAGATCATGAGCAATTAAAACATTTGTATAACAGCACTTCTAACCAGCCATCAGCCAGAAGATTCACAGCCTGCTTCAATAAGCCACTCAGTTCAGCACACCATTCATTATGTATAGCTGGTCTTCATCATCATCATCATCATCTCAGTGTTGCTGATGTGAATATTAGCCAGCAACTTGCTTCTTTTGTTGAGTCCTGTTTCACATTTGCCTCTCATTTCACAATGTTTTATGTTACATTTTGCACTTTTGTATTGTACCTGTTTGTTTCTCACAATCTTAAGCTTGTGGAAAACATGCTTGGTTGTTGTTAAAAATATTAGAATTTAATACAAGTACTAGAATTTGTTCAGCTGAGAGCTTTAATATTTCATTAATAGAGACTATTTCCTGGAATAAAAAGAAACTGTGTTTTGCCGCTCCACTTTGACTCCCGTATCTGACTCGATGGCAACCAAACATTCCTAAAGGACTTTAGTTTAGGATCCTGTTTTCACTATTAACTACACTGAACAAAATTATAAACGCAACACTTTTGTTTTTGCCCCCATTTTTCATGAGCTGAACTCAAAGATCTAAGACTTTTTCTATGTACACAAAAGGCCTATTTCTCTCAAATATTGTTCACAAATCTGTCTAAATCTGTGTTAGTGAGCACTTCTCCTTTGCCAAGATAATCCATCCACCTCACAGGTGAGGCATATCAAGATGCTGATTAGACAACATGATTATTGCACAGGTGTGCCTTAGGCTAGCCACAATAAAAGGCCACTCTAAAATGTGCAGTTTTACTGTACCCACTCAAGTCGGTTACAACGACGAACTGCAGTCAGGTCGAGACCCCGATGAGGACGACGAGCATGCAGATGAGCTTCCCTGAGACGGTTTCTGACAGTTTGTGCAGAGGACCCCCCAATACAGTAAAACTGCACATTTTAGAGTGGCCTTTTATTGTTTAGGGTTAGCCCTAACCCTAACCCTAAGGCACACCTGTGCAATAATCATTCTGTCTAATCAGCATCTTGATATGCCTCACCTGTGAGGTGGATGGATTATCTTGGCAAAGGAGAAGTGCTCACTAACACAGATTTAGACCGATTTGTGAACAATATTTGAGAGAAATAGGCCTTTTGTGTACATAGAAAAAGTCTTAGATCTTTGAGTTCAGCACATGAAAAATGGGGGCAAAAACAAAAGTGTTGCGTTTATAATTTTGTTCAGTGTAGTTGCTTATTAGCATGCATATTACTAGAATATTGGCTGTTTAATACTAATAAAGCACCTATCAGTGACTTATTCTGCATGATCATGTTTTAGATCCCTTAACCCTACTCCAGACCTACATTTAACAACTACCTTACTATCAATAAGCAGCAAATTAGGAGTTTATTGAGGCAAAAGTTAATAGTGAGAATTGGTTCCAAAACTAAAGTGTGACCGGATGTATTTAATAGCAGGCTGAATATTAATCTACAGTGAATCATGGGTACACAGACAAAACATAATCCATTAACTTTTATATTTTTTCCTGCTTAGCATTTAGTATATGGAAAGTAATAGATTTTGTGTGTGTTTTTTGTCAGAATTGCTACCTGGATTAAATATTGCAGTTTTAATGGGTTTCGATTGGGACATTGGGACATCTAACTAACTAGTGTGAATTAGATTTATGAAAGGAAATGTGGGTGAAATATAAAAATACACATTTTGGTAAAAATGTATGTTGTTTGCACTAACACAGCCAAAATGAAAAAAATTTAAACAAGGGTTAACTATTATTAACATAAAATCAATATCATCAAATACAATAGGCTATATACATGTTAGGATCGGACAATATTTGGCAGAGATACAACTATTTGAAAATCTGGAATCTGAGGGTGCAAAAAAATCAAAATACTGAGAAAATGGCCTTTAAAGTTGTCCAAATGAAGTTCTTAGCAATGCATATTACTAATCAAAAATTAAGTTTTGATATATTTACAGTAGGAAATTTACAAAATATCTTCATGGAACATGATCTTTACTTAATATCCTAATGATTTTTGGCATTAAAGAAAAATCAATAATTTTGACCCATACAATGTATTTTTGGCTATTGCTACAAATATACCCCAGCGACTTAAGACTGCTTTTGTGCTCCAGGGTCACAAATAAGATATTATAATGTATATTTCTACTGATAACTAATCAGACAGTCACATACTTCACTGTAATGGTGCAGTTTTATTACACTTGCACGGTACATGTAAATAGTTCTAGAATAAAAAGAAGAAAACGGTGACATTTGGTTTAGACATTGTTTTGAGACATTAACGGAATTTCTCAGATTTCACATACACCACAAACATTTGACAGATTTCTTTCAAGGAAATGTTTAAGATGCACCAAGGAATGACATGAGTTCTGCAGTTTTCTAAGATTCCCTAGAGACAGCAAACCATGGCATGACAACTATATTTAAAAATAAAAACACAAAACAAGTTAACTTGTAAATGCGCCACATACACAAAGTCGCTCTACATGCCAGAAAAAGCTGGTGTCTGGTCATTTGGCTTCTTCGGATTTTTTTTAAAAATTGTGCCATTTTAGGAAAACCTTTGTTCCATTTTGATAAACTTCATTTTTCATTTGTAGGTCTGTACATCACAAGTTATTATATTACATATTTTTCACACTCAATGGACAATGAGTAACATACAGTACTTTGAAGGTTGGGAGAAACAAATATAAACGTGTGTGTGTGCTCAATAGAAAAACACAAGAGCCCATTTTAAAACTCTTGCTTTTGTTATTATTGTTGTATGTTATATACATGTAAAACTATTGTTATACATTATACCAGGTGGACTGAAACCACCATTTAGCTCACGATTTCACATTTTTGAGTATTTTGTTTTGTTGAACAAAAATTGTTTTGTTACTTTTATTATAATAAGAAATGTTTCAAACGGTAACAAACATAATGGTGTAATTTAGGTAAAATGAATTGTGCATGTAATCTATCATTTCAGTTTAAAATGATGTATTATTTTGGTATCAGTATTATTTGATGGTCACATTTAATATTAACAGGAATAGATCAGAACTGCTGGAACGATCTACTAAAGATCAGCTGTGTAAGACTAAAAGCATCAATAATGTCTCCTAAACCTACTAAAGAGACTTGTGGCTGTGTTTATAAGCTGCCTTGCGCTAAAAACAGAGTCTGAAACAAAGCCTGCATCGGCTTTGAACTCTATAAAACTTTCAAAGCTGGTAAACATATTAAAGTGAAATATCCTTATTTACAAAAGCGTAATCTGATTCGGAGTAACGTGCATGTAATGTGTACGCGGAACATGATGAGACGCAACCATTTCCATCATTTAAGAATTAGGTATTAGTTAAGAAACCAGGCTTTCCTCGACTTGTCAGACGTTCAGATGCAATTATATCTGAGTGAAAGCAGGTGCAACACGTAGGTGCAGATAATAGCTCTGAATGTTAAAATGTTGCGAATGGAAAGCTGCGTTGTGTTTGCAACAGCAAAGAATGAGTTATAATAAAATATCAGCATAGAAAAAAAAACCAATAAATTAGTGAACGTGCTAGATAGATATATAAAATCTACAATCTGTACTATGTCTCTTCCATTGATCAAAAATCAAAACAAACTTTTCAAAAACAAGGACTTTCAGAGTGTTTCTTGGTTGAAGCTTCATGTTTCTGATCTTTAGCCCAGGAATTACGTAACGTACGTGGTCATGAAATAAACTCAGTATATATAATATTAGCCTGCACCGTATAGTAATGTATAAATGTTTGACGTTCAGCAGTGTTGGGAGTATCGACTGAACCTCAGAAAGTCTTTCCTGGGTGGAATGTTGAGGTTTGAAGGTCGCTGTGGTTAGCAGGTGTGCTCTCGTCTACGAATTGTTGGTGTCTCTGACCTTCTGGATTTCCTGTTTGAGGAAGAGAAACCACGAGGAGCTTACTCTCACATGACAGAAAGAGATCACAGATAAAAGGAGGAAGACATTAGAGGGATGTTATAATGAATAGGGATGTAACAGTAGAACGGGCATCTTTTGTAATGTGCGGGGTACATTGCATTGGTGCTTTTTAAAGGGATTGCCATGTTTAGTAAATCTGGCCCCTAGTGACTGGAAAATCTTACCTCAAGAAGAGCATCTTTTAATTTCCCATACGCTAAGTCAAGGTCATCATTGATAATCAGCACATCAAATAAACCTGGCTCTTTACCTGAAATATGGATATATAACAGTTAGATGTGAAAACAATTACTGCAGTATTTTATTCTAAATAATTAGCACAGGAACGGACACTTACTTATTTCCATGTCAACTTTGGCTGCATGTAAACGTTTCTGTAGACTTTCCTCAGATTCCGTTTTTCTATCCCTTAAGCGTTTTTCCTGAAGAAATGAAGTTTTTGATTAAAACGTGAAAAAGACGGATAATTCAAAAAGATGGCTGATTTCTCACCAGGGTTTCCATTGACGGAGGCTGGATGGACACATAGATGGGGTTGAGATCGGTTCTCTTGATGTTCTTCACTCCCTGCATGTCAATGTCCAAAATGCAAATCAAATTTTTGGCCTGAACGGCCTGTACAGCTGCTTTACTGTAAACGGGGCAAAAATGATGTTAGTTACAATTACATGCATATACAGTATTTCTCTAGTTTGAATACGAGTAGTGATGGGTTGTTCCAAGACAAATGAACGAGGGAGGATAAGTAATCATTCATGTTCCTCATATCTTTGGCTGCATTATAATGATTTCCTCATTTGGAATACGATCAAGATTGCATAGGTGGACGTGTTTGGAGAAATTGGCTGTTGAAAATATAATATGTAATGCCACTCTAATCAACTGAATGGCTTGATGACTACAATTGTTTTGATGAATGAGAACGTCAGTAAAATAATCCAATCTTCCCATCACTAACAGATGTTTAGCTCCAACCTAATTAACCCTCTGGTGCTGTTCGGTCATTTCTGACAGAAAATGTATATTTATTTATTTATTGTTTACTTCATCGGAATTGTACGAAACTTGGTAAAGGACATGATTCGAAAAGATTAAATGGTCTTGAAATTTTTTTTAAAAAATAGCCACACTTGTATGGTTTGCGGTCAAAAATGACCACACTGGAAACGAATGGAATGGCTTGATGACTACAATTGTTTTGATGAATGAGAACGTCAGTAAAATAATCCAATCTTCCCATCACTAACAGATGTTTAGCTCCAACCTAATTAACCCTCTGGTGCTGTTCGGTCATTTCTGACAGAAAATGTATATTTATTTATTTATTGTTTACTTCATCGGAATTGTACGAAACTTGGTAAAGGACATGATTCGAAAAGATTTAATGGTCTTGACATTTTTTTTTTTAAATTGCCACACTTGTATGGTTTGCGGTCAAAAATGACCACACTGGAAACGAATTGGAAGCGTATTTCATCTAGTGGAAACGTTTGGTACTGCGCCCAAACAAAATCTTACTGAAAACTCATTTTTTTTATATGTCAACCTCATATTTGGAACACAACTCGTTTCGATATAGGGCTTTGGTTTTCACACAGTTTGAGAGTAAAACGTTACATATTTCAGATAAAATGTAAATGTTTTGTGCATTTTTCATATTATATGATATATATACAGTATATATTTTTTCACTTCAGAAGCTATTTTCCAAGTGTCTTCTTTAAAAAGAGACCAAAGCAAAGTCTGTGCTCCAAAGCAATAAACATTTACGTCAGTTTAAGTTGGAAATTTTCAGGTCTGCGCTCAAAAAGTGGTTAACAGGTAATAAATGGATCATAACCATTCCATAAATAAAATTTAGTACAATAAAGTAAAAACTAAAATATACTACTTTCATTTCATTGAAAAACACCAGGCACCAGAGAGTCAAACACAGCTGGATCAGCGAATCAAACTCTGCAGGATTGGACACTCCTGTTCTAGACCATTCAGTTATCACAAAAACCTTTAGGAAATTCTATTAGTATCAAAGTATCAGCGATGTACCTTCACATACGAACAAGACTCTTAATAAGGGAACTATACCTTGTTCCATACATGTTCCCTGAAAATTCTGCATTTTCGAGAAATTCACCCTTAGCTACGTCTGCCTGCATCACTTCCCTGGTAACGTAATGATAATCTGAAAAAAAGGGGGAATTTTTCAGAAGATAGGTCTCTCATTGACTGATAAGCCAGAATACCAATAGAAATGACAAGAAACGGACAACACAAATTCATAAAGCACGTATTTGCCCCCCCCCATTTTTAGCTCATCATGTGTATAGAAACTGCAAGGTCTGCTCTCACCAACACTAATGTTCAGCTCAAAAACTAATTTTCACGTTCCATTTGTCTCAGACCAATGTGAAAAAAACAACAACAAAAAAAAACAGATGGATAAATGAAAATGCAATTTCACACTTTGACAGTAGGCGGAAGGTATGGAAAAGATATATCATATGCCATTTTCTTATCAAAATGTTGATATACCCTATTTGTATTTCTTTTTTTTATTAATATACTTAATCTACATAAACACAATGGCAGCACTGCGTAACTTTCGGTTTCTGACACCCGCTTGTCACAGAGAAGAAAAAAAGTCAAACAGCCACAGATATTATAAAAAAAAATTTTGCTATGGTTTTTTATCAAACAACTTGGCCTGAAAAGCCACATAAACTGCCGTTCATTCAAATTAAAATGTTTAATCGCACCAAATTTTTCCACCAAACATTTGTCTTGTGGTGAGCAGGCCTTAAGATGAGATTCTGTTTGACTAGTCACTCAAATAACTAGCTGTTTATGTAATGAATGTATGTCATTGTTGTGAAAGCATGTCATGCTTGCTGGGTTTTGTTCAGTGAGGATAATGCAATGATATTTTCAGAAAAACGGTGTTTCTGTAGCAGATCAAAAGCCTAACCTTTGCCGTCCTCCTCTCCTGGACGGGGGCTCCGCGTCGTATCTGGTAAAAGATCATTCTTGATTATTTTTACTTTTTCAGCATTTGTACTTCAGTATGTGACTTACGGGAAACGCTGAAGCCAAATACGCCATCAAACTCCTTGAGCAGCTTCTTCAGCAGAGTGCTTTTGCCAGCTCCAGACGGTCCGCTCATCACCACAGGCCTCGGTCCAGCCATCGCTAAACCACACCAGACACAGAGAGAAAACCTCAAGACAAAACACACTTTCAGAATAAAGTCACTTTTTTCTTTATCAAACTATTTACTTAGTACTGATCTGTTTTTGAAAGAAGTCTCTTATGCTTACCTAGGCTACATTTTCTGATCAAAAATACATTAAATATTGTAAAATAATGTTTTTAAATATTATTTATTCCTGTAACGCAAAACTGAATTTTCAGCATCATTACTCCACTCTTCAGTTTCATATGATCCTTCAGAAATCATTCTACTATGCTAATTTACTGCTCAATTAATATTGGTAATCAATTATTATTAATGGTTATTATTATTGTCAATGTTGAAAACAGTTTTTGCTGCTAAATAGTAAAAAAATATTTTTTTTTTCAGAATTCTTTGATGAATGGAATGTTCAAAAGAACAGCATTTATTTGAAATAGAAATAGTGTCTGTCACTTTTTTTGTTCAATTTAATGCATCTTTGCTGAATAACAGTATTACATTTTTGTAATCTTACTTAGCCTAAACTTTTGAATGCTGAATGTCACAAAAATATCATAAAAACAGCAAATTTGACATTTGAAAATAAACTGAAATAGAAAAGAGATCTTTTAAATTGTAATAATATTTCACAATATTATATTATGTTTTACTATATTTTTGATCCCCAGGATCCATCCAAACACACACACACACACACACTCTCACTCACTCAC